GAGCGGCTGGGCTGGGCTGGGGAGGGGTCCCGCCGCCCCCTCCCCTTTCTCCCGGCGTGCGGTTGGGGGGGGCGGGAGGGGGGTTTGCCACGTTTCTCCCGGCAGGGCCCCAGGGCAGCTTTCGCTGGACCGCCTCGAAAGCCCTTTATATGCGTCTGTGTCTGCACGCACACACAAGCATATACCGACACGCGTGTGCACGCACACAGACGCACGCGCACACAAGCATATACCGACACGCGTGTGCACACACACAGACGCACGCACACACAAGCATATACCGACACGCGTGTGCACACACACAGACGCACGCACACACAAGCATATACCGACACGCGTGTGCACACACAGACGCACGCACACACAAGCATATACCGACACGCATGTGAACACGCATATACACCCACAGACGCACTCGCATAGACACATGCACTTGCACGTCAGTGTCCCCTCGAAGATGAGTGAGGGTGAGCCAGCTAACGCCTTTTTTTAGCCTCCGGCTCACACGTTTCTGCCTCCGCTCAGGAAGGACGGGGCTCCAGAGCACACTGACTTATGCAGCAGCCAGACCGCTTGCTGACCAGTTGAATGCCAGTGAGCCCATAGAGCACTTTCACTCCATGCAATGGCTGAGCAGTCGGGTTAGAACGGCTCAAAGGAAGTCCTTCTCCACCCAAAGAGGTGATGAGCACACGTGGAATGCATGGCCACGGGAGGTGGCGGCGGTTACAAGCAGGGGCAGCTTCAAGAGGGAACTGCATAAGCATCTGGAGCAGAGGTCCATCAGGGGCTATGACCCACAAGGAGCTCTCAGGCTGGGGCAAGGGATGCTCTGTCTTCTTGGTGCTTGGGGGGGGGGTCAAAAGTGGGAGGGCTTCTGGTGTCCTGGCCCCACTGCTGGACCTCCTGAGGGCCCCTGGTATTTTTGGCCACTGTGTGACACAGAGTGTTGGACTGGAGCAGCCACTGGCCTGATCCAACACTGGCTTCTCTTATGTTCTTACGTTGAGAGCAGAGTAGCCACAAGGTATAGATAGGAACTCTCAGTCTGGGGCAAGGGATGCTCTGTCTTCTTGGTGCTTGGGGGGGGGGGGAACAGTGGGAGGGCTTCTAGTGTCCTGGCCCCACTGGTGGACCTCCTGAGGGCACCTGGTATTTCTGGCCACTGTGTGACACAGAGTGTTGGACTGGATGGGCCATTGGCCTGATCCAACACTGGCCTCTCTTATGTTCTTATGTAGCCCCTGAAACCCATCTGGCTCCATCCTGAGAAAGTAAATGGCACGCCCTTTTGCATCGGTTCCACCCCCCTCCCTCGGACTTTGCTTGTTTCTGTGTACGGCGGGCGCTAAAGAGCTGCAGCCACGGAGCGCTCCTCTTTCCCGTCTTCTCTGCCTAGCTGCTTCCCTTCCTGCTTCTCTCTCACTTCCCACGCCAGGGCCTAGGCAGCATCTAGAAAGCGAGTCTGTAGGGCAGCAGCAGACGGCCACCAGTCAACAGTCAAGGGTTGGCACCGAGATGAGCTGGCTCAGGGGTTCGTGCCTCTCCTTGCCTCGCGGGAGGTCCCAGTTTCAATCCGCAGCATCTCCAGCTAAAACGATCTGATAGCCACTGAGATGCAGGAGAGCCGCTGCCAGTCGGAGTAGATGATACGGACCTGGATGGACCAAGGGGTCTGGTTCCGGATAAGGCAACGCCATGTGAGGACGGAGTCTGTCCAAGCCAGGCTGGAGAAAGAGATACAGGCAGGTGGCAGGCACATGAATGGCCAGGAGCCCAGAAGGACCTCTTAAGGGAAGGGCTGTGCCAGAGCTTGGGGAGGAAAATTCTGCCCCTTGCTGCTCCATGCAGTAGCTTGGCTTGAACACACATGAAGCTGCCTTGTACTGAATCAGACCCTTGGTTCATCCGGGTCAGTATTTGTGTAATGGGTAGCCGTGCAGGCTCTGGGAGTGCCAGTTTGGTGTAGTGGTGAAGTGCGCGGACTCTAATCTGGGAGAGCCGGGCTTGATTCCCCACTCCTCCACTTGCACCTGCTGGATGACCTTGGGCAAGCCACAGTTCTGTCAGAGATGCTCTCTCAAGGACAGTTCTCTCAGAGCTCTCTCAGCCCCACCGACCTCACAGGGTGTCTGTTGTGGGGAGGAGAAGGGAAAGGAGTTTCTAAGACACTCTGAGACTCCTGGTAGTGAAGGGCGGGGTATAAATCCAATCTTCTTCTTCTAATCTGGGAGAACCTGGTTTGATTCCCCAGTTCTCCTCATGCAGCTGCTGGCATGGCCTTAGGTCAGTTACAAGTTCTCTCAGAGCTGTTCTCTGCAGAGCAGTTCTTGAAAGAGCTCTCTCAGCCCCACCTCCCTCACAGGCTGCCTGTTGTGGGGAGAGGAAGAGAAGGAGATTGTAAACTGTTCTGAGACTCCTTTGGGTAGTGAAGGGCGGTGTATAAATCCAATTTCCTCTTCATCATCAGGATCAGGGCCAGCCCCAGCTTATTTTGCACCCTAGGCGAGGGTCCCTTTTGGTGCCCCCCCCTGCGCTTGCCATTTTTCAAAAATAAATGCATTTTAGGAAGAATGAAAAACACAAATAATTAAGAAACAGAGTACGGGGCTGGGTGCAGTTTGGCGCCCCTAAGGGCCGGCCCACTCTAGGCGATCGCCTAGTGAGTGAGCCGGCCCTGATCAGGACCAATGCTGTCCATTTAGACTAGCAGCGGCTCTCCAGGGTCCCAGGCAGAAGTCTTTCACGTCACCTACTGCCTGAGTCTTTTCACTGGAGATGCCCAGGATTGAAGCTAGGACCTTCCACGTGCAAAACAGACGCGCTGCCGTCGAAGCCAGGTCCCTCCCCGCAGCTGGCCAGCACAGATGTCGGGGGCACGTTTGAGCCGCAAGCCCCCCTGAGTGCTTTTAAAGATGTGTGCTTCCCTTCCCTTTAGATGGACCAGCCGTCTCCAACCTACATGATTGCCAACTTAGCCCCCTTGCACTCGGAACAGCTCCTGCAGGGCCTCAACCTCCTCCGCCAGCACCATGAGCTCTGCGACATCATCCTGCGGGTCGGAGACGTCAAGATCCACGCCCACAAGGTGGTGCTCGCCAGCATCAGCCCCTACTTCAAGGCCATGTTTGGCGGCAACCTTTCCGAGAAGGAGAACTCCGAGGTGGAGTTCCAGTGCATCGCCGAGGCCGCCCTGCAGGCCATTGTGGAGTACGCCTACACGGGGACAGTGTTCATCTCACAGGACACGGTGGAGTCGCTCTTGCCCGCCGCCAACCTTCTCCAGATCAAGCTGGTGCTGAAGGAATGTTGCACCTTCCTGGAGAGCCAGCTGGACCCCGGGAACTGCATTGGGATCTCTCGCTTTGCAGAGACGTACGGCTGCCACGACCTCTACTTGGCCGCCAACAAATACATCTGCCAGAACTTTGAGGATGTTTGCCAGACGGAGGAGTTCTTTGAGCTGACGCACTCTGAGCTGGACGAAATTGTCTCCAACGACTGCTTGAACGTGGTCACGGAGGAGTCGGTCTTCTATGCTCTGGAGTCTTGGATCAAGTACGACGTGCAGGAGCGCCAGAAGTACCTGGCGCAGCTGCTGCATTGCGTGCGCCTCCCCCTGCTGAGCGTGAAGTTCCTCACGAGGCTCTACGAGGCCAACCACCTCATCCGCGACGACCACACCTGTAAGCACCTGTTGAATGAAGCCCTGAAGTACCATTTCATGCCTGAACACAGGCTCTCTTATCAGACGGTGCTCACGTCACGCCCTCGCTGTCCGCCTAAAGTCCTCTGTGCTGTGGGAGGGAAAGCCGGACTCTTTGCCTGCTTGGAAAGGTGAGGAATAGCGGCAGTCAGATCATGGGTTGTCTTGCTAATTTGCTGCGTTCCCCCCCACAAACCCACCTTCGTGCCCAATGAAGTGGAAGCCTGATCGGTGCCTTCAGTGGCAGGCAAAGCCTGGGTCTGGTAGGTCACACAAGGGGGGAGGCGGGGAAAGGACTATTGTGGAAGGAAATGAGTGGGCTCCTGGCACGCCACAGGTGGCCCCGCCAAGGGGATCAGAAAGTCTGCACGGGGTGGACCCAAGGGGAGGTGCTTCTGCAAACACCCAAGTTTGCACAAAAATTTGGAAGTCTTACAGTGGGGGCCGCAGAACCCCTCCCCTCTAAAAAAAACCCTGATGTCTGCAGAGGCATTGTAAAAAAAAAAGTTCAGTTGGAATTTGGGATTGCTGCAGTTATCCAAAACGGTGCATGATAAGCATATGGAGCAGAGGTCCATCAGTGGCCATTAGCCACAAGGTATAGACAGGGACTCTCGGTCTGGGGCCAGTGATGCTCTGTATTCTTGGTGCTTTGCAGGGGGGAGGGCAACAGTGGGAGGGCTTCTAATGTCCTGGCCCCACTGCTGGACCTCCTGGTGGCACCTGGTATTTTTGGCCTCTGTGTGACACAGAGTGTTGGGCTGGATGGGCCATTGGCCTGATCCAACATTGGCTTCTGTTATGTTCTTATGTTAAGAGCAGAGGTCCATCAGTGGCTATTAGCCACAAGGTATAAATAGGAACTCTCAGTCTGGGGCAAGGGATGCTCTGTCTTCTTGGTGCTTGGGGTGGGGGCAACAGTGGGAGGGCTTCTAGTGTCCTCCTGGCCCCACTGCTGGACCTCCTGGTGGCACCTGGTGTTTTTGGCCACTGTGTGACACAGAGTGTTGGACTGGATGGGCCACTGGCCTGATCCAACACTGGCTTCTCTTATGTTATCATGTTGAGAGCAGAGGTCCATCAGTGGCTATTAGCCACAAGGTATAGATAGGGGCTCTGGGGCAAGGGATGCTCTGTCTTCTTGGTGCTTGGGGGGGCGGGCAACAGTGGGAAGGCTTCTAGTGTCCTGGCCCCACTGCTGGACCTCCTGGTGGCACCTGGTATTTTTGGCCACCGTGTGACACAGAGTGTGGGACTGGATGGGCCACTGGCCTGATCCAACTTTGGCTTCTCTCTTATGTTAAGAGCAGAGGTCCATCAGTGGCTATTAGCCACAAGATATAGATAGGAACTCTCAATCTGGGGCAAGTGATGCTCTGTATTCTTGGTGCTTGGGGGGGGGGCAACAGTGGGAGGGCTTCTGATGTCCTGGCCCCACTGCTGGACCTCCTGATGGCACCTGGGACTGGAACCTGGTATTTTTGGCCTCTGTGTGACACAGAGTGTTGGACTGGATGGGCCGTTGGCCTGATCCAACACCGGCTTCTCTTATTTTGTGATGTTCTTATGTGATTGTAACAAGTAGTGCTGAACAGGAACAACAGGAGGGGGAGCAGAGATGGGTCCAAGTGGTAGCAGGGAAGTGGGGGCGGGGTGAGGGAAAGCGGAAAGAGGAGGGATGAGGAAATGGAAGCAGCAGGGAGAGAGGGACCCCTGGTGAGTGTCGGTGGAGCTTCCTTCCTCCCCGACTCCTTGTGTGTCTCCCCCACTTGCAATGTTTTTTTTTAAACTGCAAAATGATTTAGAGTTTTTTATTGTTTGTGCTCCCTGTCAGCAAGTTTGTAAGGTATTGTCACGGCTCAAATGGGGTGTCACCTGACGCTGCCACCACTCTGGATTTAGGATCCCTTGAGAAGGCCCAAAGCCCCCTCCCAAGACCTTCAGACCTCCCTTTTAGCTGAAATGAGTGTGAGGACCAGGCAGAGCGAACAATGAAAAAGGTTTATTTTTTAGGAGGTCAAACAAACAAGGTGCAGGAATAATAACAGTAAGGGGGTGAAAAGAAAAGAAATCAAAAGCCCTAATGCGTCTGAATATATACTGTCCCTAGCACACTATCTCGAGTGGCCTTAGACTACTCACCCTTCCCTCAGGATGTGGGTTTCTTCCCCACAGCAGCCTCCCTTCTGGCCCGGTTCCTTGAGAAGAAGAACTGCTTCTCCTCTTGCACCAGTTCTTTTATTCCCAGCACTCTTCTTCCCTATTGGCCAAAATCGGCGCCAGAACTTCCCAAGGCCTTCTGGGATTTGCAGGGATAGGGAAGGTAGAGAAAAGTACTTTTCTCTGTTTCTCACAATACAAGAACTTGTGGGCACTCAATTAAATTAATGAGCAGTAGGCTTAGAACAGATCAAAGGAAGTACTTCTTCACCCAACGAGTAATTAACACGTGGAATTCACTGCTGCAGGAAGTGGTGGCAGCTACAAGCATGGACAGCTTCCAGAGGGGATTAGATAAGTATATGGAGTAGAGGTCCATCAGAGGCTATGAGCCACAAGGTATAGATGGAACACTCTGTGTCTTCTTGCTGCTTGAGGGGCAACAGTGGGAGGGCTTCTGGAGTTCTGGCCCCGCTGGTGGACCTCCTGACGGCACCTGAGTTTTGGCCACTGTGTGATACAGAGTGTTGGACTGGATGGCCCACCAACCTGATCCATCATGGCTTCTCTTATGTTCTTATGCTCTGTCTTCTTGGTGATTGGGGAGCCACAGTGGGATAGTTTCTGGAGTTCTGGCCCCACTGGCGGACCTCCTGATGGCACCTGGGTTTTGGCCACTGTGTGACGCAGAGTGCTGGACTGGATGGGCCACTGGCCTGGTTGAACATGGCTTCTCTTACGTTCTTATGTTCTCTGCTTTCACTGCATCTGAGTGGGCCTAAGCGTTTTGACGCAAGGCCTGAAGTGGGATCATTTCTCCTACTTCAGCCACCTTGGTTCCCCAACCCACCCCCGAGCAAACTAGCAAGTGTTCGTTATAGCAAGGTGAGCTTGATGATTCCATATGCTGATATGAGTGTCGACCAGGGGTCCCCAACGTGCCGCTCATGGGCGCCCTGGTGCCCCCTAACGCCCTGCCAAGTGTTTTCAGTCTGGGGAACGTCTTCCTTGCGGCAGGAGGCCAAGAGGACACACACACACCCCCGTCCAGCCTCTTTGTGCTGGAGGTCTTGTGCATGTCGTGATGCCCTTTTGTGTCCTTCTTCTTCCCCTCCCCCAGCGTGGAGATGTACTTTCCCCAGAACGACTCCTGGATAGGTCTGGCGCCCCTGCGCGTCCCTCGGTACGAGTTTGGAATTTGCGTCCTCGACCAGAAGATCTACGTGATGGGGGGGATTGCCGCCCCCACGTGTCAAGGCGTCGACTACAACAAACACGAACGGTCTGTGGAATGCTGGGATCCCGACACCAACACCTGGGCGCCGCTGGAGAGCATGAACGAGGGCCGGAGCACCCTGGGGGTGGCGGTTCTGGCACGAGAGATTTACGCCCTGGGGGGCTACGACGGGCAGTCCTACTTGCAGTCCGTGGAGAAGTACATCCCGAGGGTGAAGGAGTGGCAGCCCGTCGCGCCCATGAGCAAAACCAGGAGCTGTTTCTCGGCTGCTGTGTTGGACGGCATGATCTACGCCATCGGCGGCTACGGCCCCGCTCATATGAACAGGTGAGTGTGTGGGCGCGTGGGGCTTGGAAGAGACGGCTGCTGAGCCCCACACTTTCCTCGGGAGCTCAGGCTTGGAAAGTCCTCTGCCCAGCCATCAGTAGTTAGTTACTCCCCGGGAGCCTTGTTAGTCCTTCCTCTGGAGAATTTGCACAAGGAGTTCTTGACAACCTTTGGGTGAAACCTGCCATAGAACTCGGCCTGTTTTCCTTCAGCGCAAGTCTGCAGGGAGACCGAGCTGTGTCTTAATGACGTCGTCAATCAGTTCAACGCTGCTAATTGGAGGCACGAACAAAGCAGCACCTGTGTTTGTTGGCGGTGGCCCTCTTCACGAGGCCAAGAGCGCAACCCGTCAGCTTTGCTTTGGTCTCATGAAGGAAGGGATCCAGGTGCAGGAAGGGCTCCGGAACCTTCAGGGCCCCGGGGAAGATGGGCCGTAGGGGAATAGTAGTAGTGGTAGTAGTAGTAGTAGTAGTAGTAGTAAAATCTATTGTGTAACCATTGGCCATTACAATTTAAAACAATATACAAATTAGACAATTTACAGCACTGGAATTTGAATTAAGAAGAAGAAGAAGAGATTGGATTTCTACCCCGCCCTTCACTACCCAAAGGTGTCTCAGAGCAGCTTACAAACTCCTTTCCCTTCCCCTCCCCACAACAGACACCCTGAGAGGTAGGTGGGTCTGAGAGAGCTCTTGACAGAAACTGCTTTTTTTCAAGGACAGCTCTTGTCAGAACTACGGCTTGCCCAAGGTCATCCAGCCAGGTGCAAGTGGAGGAGTGGGGAATCAAACTCGGTTCTCCCACATTAGAGTCCGCGCACCTAACCCCTACACCAAACTGGATTTAAAATATAATAACCTCTAACAAAATCTGCACATTCAGTCTTTAAATTAATTAAAATCTTAAATATAGATGCCCATCTCCAGAAACACATACACAGCTTCAAACGTTGCCATTTTACATTGCTGTTTTACAGTTCAATTTCATTTTCCTATGTTCGTGGCCCTGATTTTACTAGCCACTAAGGCGAAGAGTGCTACCCTATAGGAAACTGTAGGGTCTGTGTCTGACAGCAGAAATACTAATTTATCAATGTCAGGGGGAAAATTGCAGTTGATCTATTATTGCAGTCAAGAATTTACATCTCGGTTCCCAGTACAATGGACAGACCATGACATAATGAAAAAGATCCTCCACAGAAGTTTTACAGATACAAATACGCTGTTCCTGGGGTATTTTTAAGTATAGTCCCAGGCCAGGAGTACCGTAGGGAAATAGGAAACGTCTTCACTGAAATGTCTGTATTGCCACACTTTGAGTTTTGTGCCCCGACTGTAGAGAATCGATCTGTTACCGTCCACCTTTGACAACTGTGGTCTTTCTTTGATTATGTTTCTGCCTGGCCCCTTCTTGAAGACTTGCAACAAGTGATGACACAAAGCCAACAATCCAGTAAAACCAGTAAATAAAACAACTTTTACATTCTTTTAAAAAAACTTTTATTGTCTGTGTGCTTCTGGTTAGGTGCACGGACTCTAATCTGGGAGAACCGGGTTTGATTCTCCACTCCTCCTCTTTCACCTGCTGGATGACCTTGGGCAAGCCATAGTTCTGTCAGAGCTGTCCTTGAAAAAGAGCAGTTTCTGTCAGAGCTCTCAGCCCCACCTACCTCACAGGGTGTCTGTTGTGGGGAGGGGAAGGGAAAGGAGTTTGTAAGCCACTCTGAGACTCCTTTGGGTAGTGAAGGGCGGGGTATAAATCCAATGTCTTCTCTTATTAAACATAATATAACAATAACAGCAAAATACAATACTGAAGGCTATTAGGTACAAAGTACATAGAAGAAGAAGAAGAAGAAGATATTGGATTTATACCCAGCCCTTCACTACCCAACGGAGTCTCGAAGAGCGGCTTACAAACTCCTTTCCCTTCTCCTCCCCACAACAGACACTCTGTGAGGTCGGTGGGGCTGAGAGAGCTCTGAAAGTACTGTCCTTGAGAGAACAGCTCTGACAGAACTACGGCTTGCTCAAGGTCCCACCAGCAGCTGCAAGTGGAGGAGTCGGGAATCAAACCCAATTTTCCCAGATTAGAGTCCGTGCACTTCACCACTACACCAGACTGGCTCCTAGATAACATCTCAGCTAATTAATTCAGGAATAATATAACGTGGATCTCAAAGCTTACAGGTAGAATGCGACCAATCATTGCAAGTAATGAGGTAAAAGAAGAATTAAAGATAGAGCAGTTTTAGATAAATCGGATTGCGAGGTTGTAGATCTGTGTTGGCAGTAAATTCCATAAACGGGAACCATTTCGCTGTGGAATTTTCAGAATGTCGGAGCCATTCCAGATGCCCAGAAAAAGTAAAGCTGGATCTAGCGGGATCTCGTAACCTCTGAATCGTTGCGGGGGGGGGAGGGAGGATGCTTTAGAAGGCAGTGTCCTTGAACCACCACACAAGGGATCGCAGGCCTTGGGCAGGCCTCTGTTTGCTCTCCTGCCGTGGCCTCCCTGAAACCTAACAATGTCACAAAGCAGCCAGGCGTGCTAGCGTACAGAGAGGAGGGAAGGGTGCCAACAGAGTAAGAAAGGCACCCAGCAGAGTCTGTTTGGAAACCGAGAAGGCTGGCTGTTTGCTTACAGAGAACAGGAATGAAAGGCACCGCCTCTCTTCCCCATTGCTGGTGGACCCAAAAATAGAGTCAACGTGAGTGGTTCTATCTGGTCGAGCTAAGACAGGGTGTGAGGATCCTGTCAACAACATTGTCCCTCTATTTGGGTAACATTTCTTGGACTTCTGTTGTGCAGGAGTTTCCTCGCAGGCACGGCTTCTGACTGTCCAGATACTCGTGAAAAGTAGCCCGTGAAGTGGTGTAATTTCTCACCTGGCTACGCACATCGCAGGACGTACCCCACTTCCTCTTCAGCCTCAAGAGCCTATGGCCACCTACAAGTTTGCAGGTGTTGCGCCTGTGCATGCCCAGAGAGAACTCCTCCTCAGAAGGATGATTGATCCTTTTCATTATATGCAGAGCTTTCCCGTGTTGTCAAAATGTCTCAAGGACCCTCTGTGAGGTGCTTGCTTATAGGGGAAACGGTTTTACCTTTAAACACTCTCTGTGTATATAAACTTGGTAGTTTTCTGCTGCCACCAGGAATTAAAAATTCCAAATCTCTCTCTCTTGGTAGTATGACCTAGGGTCTGGGCACTTCAGAGGACTATGTGGCCTATCTATCTATCTATCTATCTATCTATCTATCTATCTATCTCTATCTATCTCTGATATATATATAGCCACACAGGCTAAGCTCTTTGTCTTAGGCACACAAGATAAAATATTTGTCTAACCACACAGTTTAGACACAATTTGTTTCTTTGCCATAGACTCTCTCACAAAACTCTTCTAGTCACACAGACTCTCTTCAAAACTCTTCCACACTTGTCTCTCCTCATAGACACACACACAGAATCCTCTCAGACACCCCTCCTCCCACACTCTCAGTCAGCAGCCAATCAAATCACACTTGTCTTCCTCTATCACTCTTCTCATCTTACTGCCGTCAAACTAAACATTTAAAGGAACACACACACACACCAAAGCATGGCATCATTGCAGACAGTATTAAGATCAAGGGGAAAGGCCCTCCTGACTGTCCCTTCGACCCAAGGAGTTTGTCTGGTGGGCGCACAAGAGAGAGGGCCTTTTTGGTGGCAGCCCCGCAATTATGGAACAGCCTCCCCAGGGAGTTGGGCCTGTTCCCCCCACTCTCAGTCTTTAGGAGGCAGCAGAAGACTGTAGGACGGCATCTAACTGGCTTGCTTTCTGTTTATTTTATGGGCAGTCCTGCCTGTGATTTTAAATCATGGTCTTCTATGCATTTTTTCATAATAGTTGCTTATGCATTTTTTCATAATCGTCGCTTATGCATTTTTCTGTAATGGTTGCTTCCCTTGCCTTAAAAGCCGCCTTGAGGTTCTGCACGGTAGAAAGGTGGCCGGTCCAGGCTTTAAATAAATAAATCTCCCACGGCACCGCTGTTGGGAAGGCCCCTCGAGGGACATAAATCCAGGACAGAACTGGTGCTGTTCAACCTGCCCCTTGTCCCCACCTGCAGCGTGGAACGATACGATCCCAGCAGAGACTCGTGGGAGACGGTCGCTCCGATGGCTGACAAACGAATAAACTTTGGTGTCGGGGTCACGCTGGGCTTCATTTTCGTAGTCGGAGGACACAACGGAGTCTCTCACCTATCCAGCATCGAGAGATACGACCCTCACCAAAACCAGTGGACGGTTTGCCGGCCAATGAAGGAACCCAGGACAGGTAGGAGGAACCCCAAGGGATGCTTGGGGCTGCCTGCGCTGTCCCATTATTATTGTTCAGGGGTAGATTCGGGTGGGTAGTCGTGTTGGTCTGGAGCAAAAGGACAAACGTTGAGTCCAGGGGCACCTTCAAGCCCAACAAAGTTTAATTCTGGCTATATAAGCTCTTGTGTGCCCTCATACGAAAGCTTATACCCGGAATTAAACTTTGTCGGTCTTAATTTGCGTGCCACTGGACTCAAACTTTGTTCTATTGTTCAGCGTGTGTGTGTGTGTGTTGGGGGAGTTGGGGATGCACCATAGAGCTGAGTTCTCGTGACCAAAGGTGGTCCTCGTTGTGAACCTTCTCTGCCGATTGTCCCCAGGGCGTTCTCCTGTTCTGTGCTGTTCACATTCTCTTTTTTGCAAAAGCTTCTGCCGCAATAAACTGATTAATCTCTAAGGTGCTCTCTTAGACTCTTAGTTTTGTGGGAGGAGAGTTAACGCGGCTATCCCTCTGGGATCTTGAGCATTCTGGGTTGTCTGTCGTACCTCCATGACAGTAGCCAGGGCCACCCTAAGCCAAGCGATGCTCTTCCGTTGGCCTCAGTGAACTAAGAAGGGTATAGCTCTGCTTAGGATGATGCTATGAGATGGTGGCTATGTCCGGTGGTGGTGGTGGTGGACAGTGCCATCGAGTCACAGCTGGCTTACAGGGACCCCGTAGGGTTATCGAGACAAGAGAGATTCCGAGGTGATATTTATTTGTTTATATATTTGATTTATACCCCGCCCTCTCCGCCGAGGCAGGCTCCGGACGGCTTACAAGAACAACATAAAAGCAAGTATGACATCGATAAAACCATCTAAAAATAATTCAGAACGTAAAGTGCTAGCTGGTTGTGAATTAATACATTAGGGATGGCGGCAACGGTTACTTTATCCATCAGTTCTCGATCTTTATCATCTATATACACGACTGGCACAGGCTGTAATGGTGGAGTCGGGTGCCTCTTTAATGATGATGATTGTGTCGTCCTTGCTTACCGGGGAGACGGTTTTGCCTTTAAACACTCTCTGTGTTCCTAAACTTGGTAGATTTCTGCTGCCACCAGGAATTAAAAATTCCAAATCTCTCTCTCTCTTGGTAGAATGACCCAGGGTCTGGGCACTTCAGAGAACTATGTGGCCCTGAGGAAGGACTGTTCTGATTTCTGGGATAAGTTTTTTAAAAAATGATTTATTTAATGAAGAACAAAATAGGTTTCTGGTTATTTTGAACTGTTGCTGATGAAAGGAACTTGTAAATATATCTGGCAAAGCTTGGTGTCACAAACAGTCTCTCAGACTCCCAAAACTCCACTCTGACAGGCGTGGACAGTCTAATCTCTCTCTCTCTCTCTTTCTCTCTCTCATCTATATAGCCACACAGGCTGAACTCTTTGTCTTATTTGCACAGAATAGACTCAAAACTTATATTCACACAGACTAAACTGTTTGTCTTATTCACACAAGACGGACGCAGAAACTCCCATAGTCTCACAGACTATGCTCCCTCTTCAAACTTCACACACAGAATCACTCTCCTAGACACCCCTCCTCCCACACTCTCAGTCATCAGCCAGTCGCATCACAGTTCTCTCCCTCTAGCACTCTCCTTACAGCACGGCAGTCCAACTAAACATTTAAAGAAACACGCACACCAAAACATGAAATCATTACGGTGGTGGTGGAGGCTCCTTAGTTGATTTTCCATTGCCTGCTTCTGCACAGCAGCCTTGGACTTCCTCGGGGGTCTCCCGTTCAAGTACTAATCAGGGCCAGCCCTGCTTAGCTTCTGAAATTGGACAAGATCAGGCCAGCCCGGCCCATCCAGGTCAGGGAAAAACACATACAGAGGTGGTCAGTGTTCCCTCTAAGCTGTGGAGTCTTGTGAGCAAAAACTTTTACTTTGTGAGCTACTGCCATTAAAGTTGTGAGCGAGCCATTTGGCTACTGCATAAATTAGTTTGCTCTGGAGCCCTCCTTCCCGATCTAAGGCAAAAATGTGTGAGCCGGAGGCGAGGAAACTGTGAGCTAGCTCACACTAACTCAGCTTAGAGGGAACCCTGGAGGTGGTGTGCCATTGCCTGCCTCTGCATAGTGACCCCGGGCTCCCTCGCGGGTCTTCCATGTGGATAACTGACCAGAGAGAACCCTGCTTAGCTTCCAAGATCTGATGAGGTTCCGGGTGGGCTGGGCTAACCAGGTCAGGAAGAATAACAAACGGCTGTCACCGCAGCCGACTCATGACAAGCCCTCTTAGGGTTTTTTGTTTTATGCAATAGATGTCCAAAGGCGGTTTTGTCCTCTGGCTCTGCATAGCCACCCCGGCCTTTCTTGGTGGTCCCCCATCCAACTACCAATCTGGGTAGCCGAGATTTCATGAGATCAAGCCAGCCTGGGCCGTCCAGGTCAGGGCATGAGGAAGAAGAGGAGGAGGAGGTGATTGGATCATAGAATCATAGAACGTTAGAGTTGGAAGGGACCCTGCAGGTCATCGAGTCTAACCCCCTCTGCACTCTGCAGGAGCAGAGCCGAAAGATAATAGCCCTACAACATACCCGAAAGATGGTCCTCCAGCCTCCACTTGAAAACGTCAAGCGAAGGAGCCTCCACCACCTCCCAAGACAGTCTGTTCCACTGCTCAACCAATCTGACAGTTAGGAAGTTTCTCCTGATATTTAGCAGGTATCAACCAGTGTTCCCTCTAAGCTGAGTTGGTATGAGCTAGCTCACAGTTTTTTAGCCCCTGGCTCACACATTTTTGTCTTAGCTCAGGAAGGATGGCTCCAGAGCGAAATAATTTATGCAGTAGCCAAATCACTTGATCACAACTTTAATACCGGTAGCTCACAAAGCAGACTTTTTGCTCACAAGACTCCACAGCTTAGAGAGAACATTGGTATCAACTCCCTTGTAATTTCCACCCATTAGATCTTGTCTTGCAATCCAGAGCAAGAGAGAATAGATCTGCTCCATCTTCTACATGACAGCCCTTCAGATATTTATAGACCGCAATCATGTCCCCTCTAAGCCTTCTCTTTCCCAGGCTAAACAGACCCAACTCTTTCAGCCTTTCCTCGTAAGACTTGGATTCCAACCCTCTCACCATCCTGGTTGCCCGCTTCTAGACACGTTCGAGCTTGTCAACATCCTTCCTAAAATGTGGTGCCCAAAGCTGGACACAGGACTCCGGGTGAGGCCTGACCATAGCAGAATAGAGCGGAACTACCAACTCCCGTGATCTGGACACGATGCTTCTGTTCATGCATCCCAAGATTGCATTAGCTTTCTTCACAGCAGCATCGCACTGCAGGCTCATGTTTACCTAGTGAACAACCAGAACACCCAGATCCCTTTTACATGTATACCCTGCCCTTCACTTGACGTCTCAGAGTGGCTGACAAACTCCTTTCCCTTCCCCCTCCCCACAACAGACACCCTGTGAGGTAGGCAGGGCTGAGAGAGCTCTGACAGAAACAGCTCTTTTTCGAGAACAGCTGTGCCAGAACTACGGCTTGCCCAAGGCCATCCAGCAGATGCAAGTGGCCGGTTCTCCCAGATTAGAGTCTGCGCACTCAACCACTACACCAAACTGGCTCTTTTGTATGCCTCCAAATTAATCCCATTGAACGCAACAGGGCTTGTCCTCAGTTCTCTGTGTATTGACACAGGGTTAAATGTCTCATCATTTGTGTAAACGTGCTTTTAAAAATCTTTTCCTCCAACTCCTCTCTCAAGCAATGGCTTTTTGTGTCTTCTCTTCCTCCTCCCCGCCCCCCACAGGAGTCGGCGCTGCCGTCATTGACACCTACCTGTACGTTGTCGGCGGCCACTCGGGCTCCTCCTATCTGAACACCGTTCAGAAGTACGACCCCATCTCAGACGCCTGGCTGGACACGGCCGGCATGATGCACTGCCGATGCAACTTTGGCTTGACCGCGCTTTGAAGAGGCCCCGTTGACAGACGCAACCGGCAGGAAAGATGCCGGCAACGCAGAGACCGGAAGCCGCCTTCCTGGGAGTTGGGAGGAAGGGTGGAAGGCTTTCTTCAAATGCAGACCGTTGACCCCTTTCCACACTGAAAATGGTTCTGGTGGTTATTGGTTACCAAAAAAAAGCACGGTGGGAAAAATAAGAGAGAGAAAATGGGGCGGTGTGTCCGGGGAGAATCGGGCCACGCGGGGTCACGGATGCGAGAAGCTCTGGCGTTGCCCGACTGAGCCGTAGACACTCCCTCTCTCAGAGAATCGGGGCCTCTTCCTCCTTAGGTGACTGACTTAGTTAACCTTGCTGAATGCGAGGGGGGTCCTTTGAGTCCCTCCCAGAAGCAGACTGTCCTTTTGAAAGGGGGTCTCTGGCTGCGTCTTTGCATTGAGGGACCTTCCTTGCTTCACGTTTTTTTAACAAACACTTAACTAAAGGGCTGCCTTTTTTTTTTTTCTTCGACTCAAGGTTTGTAAATGATCAACGCCATCGTCCCGTTTGCCGGCACTTCCTTTCTGCCTCCCCCCCTCCCCCCGTCTTTTTATTTGATAGCTTTGGTCAGTGGGTTCGGGGGTGGTTTATAATAAAGAGTGGCTGGTGGGGGGGTCCCCCCTCCCCAGCAGAAACATTCAGCGTGGCAAGCTTTCTATGCCTCCTCACCCTGCCCAGAGTTCCACCATAAGTTTTCTAACTCACTTGTCCTCGTCTCGCTAGGAAGTCATCTCACTTACAAGCCTGGCCCGGAGATCCAGCTCCGTGTGGCAGATCCCGCTGTGTCTCTTGTCGCTGCTGTTTCTGAAATTCTATAGAAGCGTCCCAGCAGGTGTCTGTAGACCTCGTCGCAGGGCTTGTGGGTCCCTTCCTCCACTGCTCAGCCAGCGGCGGCACCTCCCTCCGGCCTTCCTGAAGAGGCTTGGAGTCTTGCCTGTTGAAGGAAACCTCCCTGTGCCGAAGGAAGGCACTGCTGTTCTCTGTCCTCTGAGCAGAGTGGACGGACGCTGCCCACCCAGTGCCCTCCCCCCTGCGTTGTGGACTCGCAAACAACCGTAAAGAAAGGGAGGGAGGGTGCTTTTCGAGCGTCCCGGTTTCAACATGGTGCTAAAAGGGAAGGTTTCTGGAAAGGGCGTTAATAGTTGGCGGGAGCTCTGACGGAGGCAGCGGCGTTCGTACCGCAGCCCTGGCTGGGCAGACGGCGGCCTGGTTAGCGAGCCCTGCCAGAGTTGAGGGGCGGCTGACGCTCGCGATTCTTCCAAACCGTTGGTTTTCCATACCTGTTAGTTCATCTGTGCCTGTGGGAGATGTGGGAAAAGCCGGGCATTCCGATGAGAGATTTGGATCCAAGCAGATTCTTTAAAGGTTGCAAGGAGCGCCCTGTCCTTCCCCTCCCATAGATGATGCTTGCCTTCTTTAAAAGAACATGGCTGCCTGCGGGCCCAGTGCTGTTTATTGCCGGCTGGGAGCGGACCCTGCCGGGGCGGGTGCCGCTCAGCCACCCTTTGTGTCAGTGGGGCTTCCGTGTACTTGAGGGGTTGGCCCCCTTGAGGGGTCGGGGCTCAAGGCCTGTCCCAGCAGGCGGAGGCGGCCTTTCAGGTGTGCCGCATAAGCCCAGTCGAAGTCTGGCGGGAGCAACGGAAGGCCCTGCCGGTTTCTCCTTGCGTGTTCCTGACTCCGAAGCCATCCCTTCAGCTTTGCTTTGTGTGTGTCCGCCGACATAAATTTGTTCCGTACTTCTACGGTGTGCACTATTCCTTTTTTTTTTTAAATTGTTTTGTATTCACAAACATGCAATAATAACCGGAGGGGCCGGAAAAGCCTTTTTCTTCAGAGTAGATATATATATAAATGAAGTTATTGTGAGCAGACTCCAGCTGTCCAGAGTCCCGGTAGCGTGGCCAGTAGCCGGCAAAGCCGCCTTTCGTGGACGTGGTCTCGTTGGGCTGCGCTAACATCCAGGCCGGAGATGGGAGAGGGAGCAGCCTGTCTCCTGAGGTCACTGGGGGGGGGGAGTTTTGCACGTCTGCCAACTTTTGTACACACGACGCATTCCTGAAACTGCACTCCAGACATTCACGGAAGGGGTTTTCGAGCGAGCGATTTAACAAGCGAAGCAAGTTCTGTGTGTTGTCGAAGGCTTTCACGGCTGGAGTTCATGAGCTGTTGCCAATTTTCCGGGTTGTATGGCCGTGGCCTTGGCATGGTAGGACCTGACGTTTCGCCAGTGGCAAAACGTCTGGTCCTACAATGCCAAGACCGCGGCCATATAACCCGGAAAATCGGCACCAGCTCATGAAGCAAGTTCCCCTCAGCAGCTTCAGAGCGGCTCGTCGAATCTTGTCATGCAAGCAATAATAGCAGTGGCCTTTCTGGAAAGTGGGGGTGAGTGGGAGGAGGGGATTGATTCACCTCGTTCGGGCTCTGTAGGAAGGAGTGCTTATGAGCTATTGCAGGGAGCAGCCAGCATGCGGAGCCGAAGGGCTGTTGTGTTTCCGCTTGAAGAGCGGCTCGGCTCAATAGTCACACCAGCCAAGTCTCTCCCACCCTCTCCCTCCAAGGTGGCTTTGAATGTAGACGGTGTGCTAAGTGAGATTTGGGGACCGCTCTAGGTGGCCCTGTGAAAGGGGGCAGAGACAGGCGAAGGGTGCCCTCCTTGATGGCCTTGAGAACTTGGTGGCCGTGTGACCTGCAGTGCCCACTGCAAACCATCGGCCACCGCTGTAGGGCAGAAGCGAACATTTCATAGCATACATGAATACGCTTGAGCCAAGATATTGATTCGGCAGCCCTGAATCTGGCTGTCGATTGTAAGAATAGCTTTGAGAGGAGAACTTGGTGGCTGTGTGACCTGCAGTGCCCGCTGCAACCCATCGGCCACCGCCGTAGGGCAGACCTGAGCGTTTCTTAGCGTACTTGCATACGCTCGAGCCGAGGAATTGCTTCAGCAGTCCTGAATCTGGCTATAGCAAGACTCGGTGTTCCAAGATCTGTCCTGAAGGGGGCGCCTTCCCAGTGGAGGGTACCTATGAGCCTTCGAGTTGTGATGTGTGTCACGACTTTCCCCCCAAGGACTTCTGGGCACATGGACGAGAGGCGGTGTCATTCTGGCTGAGCAGCTGACAAAAGTTGCTAGTGGATTGAAGTCTCCACTGTGTAAGTGTTTGTTTTTTGGTAGGTGTTCTAAATGTTGCCGAATGTCTGCTTTGCGGTCAGGTAAGTGTAAGGGGGGGAAACGGCCATCCTGAGATGGGACTGTCTGGCTTGACTTCTTGCTAGTGAATTGATCAGTGCGGTAGACCCCGGCCGTGCGTCAAGGAATCCTCTATTCCGCTGAAGACACTGTCCTTGTTTCTCTGTTTGGGAGCATAAAGCCTCCGTTCACCTAAGTGCTCAGGTGCAGGCAAATCGGACAGCTGGTTTTTAATACCTGCAGGCTGCAATAAGCTAACCATTGTCCAACAGTCTTAACCTTGCAGAGAATGCCTTTTTTTACATTTAAGATGTCACACACCTAAAATCATCCAGTTCTAGGAGATCATTTCAAACGACGTTCAGATTTTTAAGGGAACGCACTTTAAAACGCTCTGGCTTCCTGTTGCAAGGCTCTTCTCATGCCTGGAAGAATAATCGCTTAGACATATAAAAAAGGGAGGGGGATAACCATCATCCGTGCAGGGAAAAGCCCCACACTCCTGGAGCTGGGAAGTTACTGTGGGAGTTGAACCAGTGAAATAGAAGAGTTGATATTCAGACTTGTTTGAAAACGTTGCCTCCTCAACCCTGTGTTTTGCAGAAGTGCCCTTCCAGTCAAAACCGAGGAACAAGACAGATTAGCAAAGTCTCCCACGGAGGGGTGAGGGAGCACCGGGTTGGCCTTTGAGCCACTCGTCCTGGAAGTTTGGTTCCTTCCTGGTATTCTTTCCTTTCCATCCCGCCCACCCGGAAAAAGTTAAATTAATTGTTGGGGTGGTGTCTTTTTTTTTTTTTTTTTTTGCAGTTCTCAACATTGCGCGAAACGCCCAGAACTCTCTCCATGTCTGCCTTAAATTTCTTTTATTCCATTCAGGAACTGGGTGACGATTCCTCTCTGCCTTACATGCTGTGCTGTAACCTCTGTGGTCTGAGGCAAAGTTAGTTTTCTGCAAGATCCCGACCCTTCACACACTACCACGGTGCTCTGATGTGCATGGGGTGGGTGGGGGTCTTCTCTAAATTTATCAGACACCTAGTGCAGTTGTGTGTTTGTTCTTCGATTTTTTGGGGGTGTTCACAATCTACCTTCCCTGTGTTCCTTTTCTTTTTCTTTTGGTTTACAAATATGTGGCATTTGCGTTGAGCCTGGAACGGCTCAAAAAAAAAGAGGAATTTTTTTGTTTGTTTCTTTGCTGAATGTGACAATGCCCCGTTTTCATTGTGACAGTATTTCATTTGACTGTGCGATGTTTACTAAATAAAGCTGTGAAAGTGTGAGGGGATCGTCTCTCTTTGGGTGCGTTCAGACGGGCCGTTTAGTCCGTTTTCGGCCCGCCTCAGAAACGGATTTTATCTGCGCGATCACACAGTCAACATCTGCCTCCCGTCCCCAGCCGTCGCTTTCCGGCTCAAAACCGCTTTAGCCCGCAGTTTTCCTGATTCTCCGGTTCCAGCCGCATTTTTCCTCTGTGTGATCACTCCTCCGGTGTCGAGCCACTTCCGGTTTAAACCCCCTCCCCGCTCGAAAGCTGCTCGAGGCTTCCACTTTTTGCCCACCATTTTTTAAAAAGCATTGGCGGTGTGCGCTTATCTTTCAGCTTGTGGGGACGCCGCGAGGTCGTGCACGGCTTTGGGGTGGAGGACTGCTTCACACAGCGACACTTATGGATCAGGACCCCCCCCCAAAGCTGGCATCCCATTGCAAGCGGGGGAATGTTTCTAGGGAACGTGTGTAGCAAGGAAAGGCCTGTCTTCCCTCCCGAGGCACTTGCAGTGGGAGGCTGAGAAACTGATTTCACCAGGGACAGCGGCTGCCTGTGACGGGGACCAGCGAAAGGGCCGCAGTGTCTCATGAGCAAGCCGTTGAGTTCTCTGGAACATCTTTATCTCGGGCGCGATGCTGAGTAAACTGGGAAAAGGGAGATGGAGAAAGACGTGTTGGCAAAGGGCAGCAAAAGG